CTTAATATGAAATATAAACCACCAACATTCACACCGCCGCATCATCTAAACAATCAATTCAAAACTCAACCACCGCAAACCCAGTCCTATCAATTAACAAAAAACACAAAGAAAGAAAACAAAGAAAATCACAAGCCTCGTTGAAGAAGCCACACAAACAAAAAAACAAAAACAAAAAGAAGCATAAAAAACAACTTGGAAATAGCAAAACAAATGGGGGAGTTTCGATTGTGGGAAGATTTAGGAGGTTTCGGGACTTGAAAATTAGATGAAAAGAAGACCAAGGGATAAGGTTATAATATAGTAGGAAATGAGGTATTTGGAGCGGCCGAGACAGATGTTTTGGAAGTTTATAGGCAGTGACTTGGGCTGTAGATCTAGACTTTTAAGAATTGATTTTGGAAAATCTTAACTTGGATCGGTGACGAAGAGGTTGCGGAGGGTCCGTGGTGAGACTTTAGGTTGGAAATGACTCCGACACCAATGGAGGAAAACGGCCAACGTGACAGTTTTCAGCAATTGAAAATCGCCTAGAAAGAGAAGTTTGATTTAGTGAGAGAGAGGAAAGAGAAAAATTAAAAAAAAAAACTTGTTTTCAAACAACACCAAATGGTGCAATTAGAAAAAAATACCCTGCACGGAAGCGCAAGCTAAGCTTACGAATTAAATAATTTATTAACAATAGAAGTGTTCATCTGTCGTTGAGTCGGATCGAATGAGACCTAATTGTCACTCTTAAAGCTTAGTTTAACGTTCAGTCCGGTTTGTCATTTAGGTCTTACTATTTAAAATAATATTAAAAAATTATTTCTGTAGATTCTGTATTTCTCAACCCAATTGACTGGCAGTTGATCACACTCATGAATCATGATTTATTAATTCAGTTCATGTAAAACTGAATGAGGTCACAAATTTGAACCCCACGAAAATTTTCATTCTATGAGAAGTGCATGGGCAAGGATGTAATGGACAAATCTCTCTTCTAAGCTCTAATTAAGCATGAGATTTGAGCACCTGTCAACACAACTAATGTCATCAGCATGAACCAACTGTGTCCTCTGGCACAAATCAATTACAGTTATATTCATTCATGTGATAATAGCTTTGTGTGAAAGCCAGAATTTTCTGCAGAAAAGATTGCTTGATGTGGGGAATGTTACGGAATGATGTGATATTGATACACCTAGAAATTGCCGCATAACCTGTAACTCTGTTTTTAAACTGTGCAGGTTGCTTTTGATTTTCCCACTGTTTGTTCCACTTGAATTTAACATCTAAGAAAGCTACAAGAAAACGTAACTACGAAAAGCAATTCTGGGTTTTGCAAAATGGCAATCGACATCAATGAAAAGTCATCGAAGCTTTTGGTATTTTGATTTGTAGCATTAATTTTTGCCTTTTTGGATTTTCAACAGTCACACCTCCGTTTGAAGGTACAACTGTTCCAACAGTAAATGGAGTTTCCAGGTCTCCCTTAGTAGTCAGAACACTTATTAAACATCTCCATCTCCAATTATTATTTTTCCACACTCAACACCCAAACAATCTATAGAGCTAGAACGAAGGGGAAGATTTTATTGGACCATGTGTGAATGCATCACCATCTGCTAAACCATGTGGTGTTCATGTGAATCCCCTGGTTATAAATGGCAATCACCTAGCTAGGTTGCCCTAAGCATTCCCTTTAAGAACCACAGACAAATTATGCAATGTCATGTTCAAAACTTGTTGGCACTTCCTTTAATGTTTTCAGAACCTGTTAGAAAATTTGAATCTGACTTTGGGGACCGATTCTTTTTACCTGGACTACTTGTAAACATTTGACAGACAAAACTATTATGTTTGCAAATGTTTTTAACCATGGAATACCAAAGAATCATATCAATATATGCAGTGAATCAGGCTAAAGTTCAAGAGTAAAGAAAATCGTCTCATTAGGTGTTTTGTCACGATTAAAATGCCCTTTTACAAGTAAAGTGACATCTTCATAGGAAGGGAAAGAAAACAGAAAGACAAAAAAGCACGAGGGTTTCATCAAGGTTTCAGGCTTTTGAGAAAAACATCTATAATTTGCGTAAAAAAGAAGGGTTCAAAGTTAGAGAAAATAGGCCTACAAACGTGATTTATCTTCCATCATTGGGCTAGTTTTCGTGTAGCTTTCTTTCTTTACCTAATTGCTGCTAAAGTAAGCCATGATTAAACCATTAAGCCGACCACAGACCTCTGCCCACCTCCTTTTCAGAACTCCATAACTACAAGCTAACAACCAAGAAATGGGAGAAGAAAAGTAGAGCTAACAGTTGTAATCCTGGATGCTTGTATTAAAGGTATAGCAAGGAGGATATTTGAAAGCACATGATATTGATTGAATGGAAGTGCCAAACGCAGAACAAATGGTCTTATGTAAGCGATATATGGAAGGCTGGATTCTTCTCCAAATATATCAATATTTTCCCTCATACAATGAATAATGCTCTCTCATTGCCCTAACTTTTTGCCATGTTAGGCAATTTTACCCTTTTTGAAAAAAATTGCTACTATTTCATAGTAACTGCAGACTGCAACTTGAACTGTATAATTTAACTGAGGCTTTGATTTGGCAATGGAGAAGATAAGAGAAATAGAAACTTCATGGATTAGAGAATATGAGCTTTCTCCTCTGGCTGCTTAACCCCCTAATGGCTTTCAAACCTGAATTCGTTTATTTCTTCTATTTTTTTTTCCTTTATAACTCGGTGAGAGACATATCAAATTTTATCTAAATTTAATCCTCTTCTAAATGATTTTAAGAGTATACTCACTATACAAGTCCAATGCATACGGGATTTTACTTTCGAAATGCTTACCATAAAGATTGAACCTTAATTTACAAGGAAAGAAAATTCCTATTTTTATCTACTAGACTAACCCCTTTGTGTTGCTTTTTTATTTTATTTTATTTTATTTCTACTATGTTTTAGTAGAAAAACCATTTAGTAAAGTTTGCATGTCTTTTTTGCCCTTGAATTTTTAGCATAAATCAGGCATGTGATCATTAGTTTGAATTTCCTTCTTACACCATGCCTTCCAACAAGGAAAAGGAGGCTTAATCTCCTACCTTTTAAAAAAGGAAAGTAAAAGCAATAGCATTGTCAATAATTTAGTTGGTATGTAGTATTTTAGTATGGTTAATGTAAAGAATTTAAGATTAGATCCCACCTTCAGCAAAATTGAGATGAATAAAGGAGAAAGATGACCGTTTTGTGTGATCAGGCTAATCAAACCCAAAAAAAATAAAAATAAATAAATAAAGCTTTTATATACAACTGATCATTGCAGGAAAAAAAATGATTGTAGTAGTACTCATGTAAAGAGGCATGCCTAGTCTAGACACTTGGATGACTATTCTTTTCTTTTTCCAATATTAACCATAGTCTTTTTAATAGAGCTTTTCAAGGATTTTTTGCAGTTTGAAAATACTACAATTAGATTTTAGTTCATGCATTTACTGCCAAAGATTAATGGTCAACTACTCTTTTACCAACTGTTTTTTATCTACATAAATTGATTAGTTGAAACACATTATCTACATTTCTTGCAAAACCATTGATTTAAATAAATACTTCTTCAATTTCTCCATCACTTCAAATATAAGTAAAGATGATCATTTCATCTCTTAATATATACTCTGAATGTTATCATTTTATTTAGATAAATTCAAATAATTTTATTTTATCTAAATAAACTTTTAATTTTTACTTTACATTTAAATAAATTTTTAAATTTTAATTTGTATCCAAATAAACTTTTATCTTTTAATATATATATATGTAAAAAAAACCTTTAACATAAATCAAAATTTTTTTAAACTAAGACCGTACTTGAATACAAATCAAAAAATAAGAATTTATTCGGATACAATAAAAATATAAAAATATATTTAAATAAAATAATAAAGTTCAAAGATTCTTTTAATATTTTTACCAAAATAAATTCAGACATAATTTTGGGACTCAACTGTTTTTCCTGTACATTCATTGTCTTGATGTGAGACATATCTTAATTGTTCCTAAATTTCAGAGGCAATACAAGGGAAAAAAGAGAATAGTTTCAACGATTAATATGTATCTTATATAGATGAAATAAATGAGTACCAGAAGCCTATTATTAAGGACAGAAGTATAATAAAATTTAACAAAAATGCAGGTGATGAATCAATATTTTTCCATGACTACTGATTCCAATTCAATTTGCAAGAAAAATGAAGAATTTGTAAGACTCAATAGGTGAATCTGGAACCTCATAATGAGCAGCTACGCCTATCATTCATTAAATTTGTTAATCCAACTTTGTAGTTTGGAAATAACATGAATCTCAGAAGAAAATAATATTGTGTATATTAGACCCAATGTTCATTTAATTTTCATGAAAAAAGGCAAAATTAATTGACAGACGATGGAAAATCTCAATGAATCAATGTTCTTATTAATTCAGAATAAAAAGTCGTTGAGTGCAACAAAACCATTTTCCTCACTCAAACCAAGCAGTCACTTTTCTTATGAAAAAGCTTGTCCAAAGTTAAAAGACAAAGGACCGAATGAAACTGTGTTTGGGTTCAAAGGGTCCATGAAGCAAAGTATAGTGGGTGTGTTGGGCAAGTTTTTGAGCCAGCCCGATACCCCAGAGGGGTATAGGGGTAATAGATGGTGGATAGGCAAATGTGGAAATGTAGCGGAAACAGTGTGTAAAAGCTTTTTTTATAAAAAAAAAAAAAAGATAACAGTAATTTTCATAATGCTAACCCCATGGCCCTTTTAATGGCATTATTCATTGTACCACACCAAATTCGGGAGAGGAAATCTGACAAGAGTTTATTCACATCTGCTCATAATAATTATCAAAGGATTAAAAAACAATTCTCTCTCTCCATCACCATTTATTATTAATCATACCAAAATCCAAACCCCCGCTCAAAAAAAACAAAAGGGTAAAAAAGGTTACCAGAGAACACAGAAGCCAAAGCCAAGTCCAATAAAAATCAGACAAACTTTTTTTTTTAAATCTGAACTTTCAAGGCAAGCCAAAACCCAATTGGCCAAGCTAATTAGCCATGGCTAATAGGGTTAAAAGAACAAAAGCCATCAATTATTTATACAAGTTTCGCACACAAATCTGATAATGCCACTGCTACTTACTGTCATTGAAAGTGTTTAGAAAAGCCATGTACGTAACCAGCTAGTGTATCAACATATAAAGGTCCAAAAGATTTTGTGAAGCCTTGCCAGCACTCACTTCCTTTGCCAGTCTTTGCAGCATCTCTTTCTTTGCTTTCCCTTGCTTAATATATATCTCTCTCTTGCCCTGAAATAGAGGCAGCAGGGTTACCTGAGAAGTTTTAATATGTACCCAACGCCTGTGGATATCTATCTCTTTCTCTCTCTTTCTTCAAAACTGAACCTTTCTTGTTTCTTTGTCGTGTATCACAAAAGTTTTTCTTGGGTTTAGAAAGAGAGAAAATATAGCTGAGGGCACGCCACCATTCACTTTTGCTGTTAGAAACCAACCAAAAGAAAGAACAAAGACTAACCCCTTTGTGGGGATTCGTTGTAAACTCATCTTCTTCTCTTTTTTTTCTTCAGATCTATTTCCAGCCCCCCCTTTTGTCCTTTCTCTCTGTTTTCACTATTCTACTCTTCTGTTTGTTATTTTTGAGCATAAGAGGGAAAAAAATGAGTAAAGAGGAGTTTATGAAAATCCAGGTATTAACTCTCTTTCTCTTTCATTTGTTTTGCTTGCTTCAAGTTTGTACCTTTACTTCATTTCCACTCAATCTTTCTTGACTGTTGTTTTCTTCTTTGCAGACGTGTATTCTCAAAGTCAACATACACTGTGACGGATGCAAGCACAACGTGAAGAAAATCTTGCAAAAAATTGATGGTATTTCTTCTAAAAAATTTGGTCCTTTTTCCCTAATTTTTGCACCGTGCTGAGAAACATAGTATCCTGAAGAACTGTTCATTTGTTTTCATTTCTTGGATTTGCTAGTCCGTTTCTTTGTTGTGTTTCTCCAATTTTAGAGCTCTTGGGCTGTTTTGTTTTTGGCAGGGGTTTACAAAACCAGCATAGATTCTGAGCAAGGGAGGGTAACAGTCTCAGGAAATGTAGACCCAGCTGTTCTCATCAAGAAGCTTGCAAAATCAGGGAAACATGCAGAGCTCTGGGGAGCTCCAAAAGCAAATAAAAACAACCAAAATCACCTTGCCAACCAGTTCAAGAACATGCAGCTAGATAATGGCAAAGGTGGGAACAACAACAATAACAAAGGAGGCCAAAAAGGTAACAACAACAACAATAACCAGCCCAAAGAAGGCCAGCCAACCCCTCAACAGCTGCAGCAACTTCAACAGTTTCAGCTTCAGCAGCAACTTCATCAATTGAAACGGTTACAAGATCTGAAGCTACCGCAATTGACAGACATGAAGATGCCTCCTAATGACAACAACAATCAGAAAGCTACCAAGTTTGCTGAAGAGGAAGATTTTAGTGACGATGATTATGATGATGACTTGGATGATGATTATGATCTTGATGATGATGAATATGATGATGAGTTGGATGATCCTCACCATCCTCTTAACAAGATGAAGCCCGTGATTGGAAATGGTCCCAAAGGAGTGCCCAACATGATGCTGAATGGCATGATGAATGGTAATCATCCTCATCTCATGAATGACCAAAAGGCTGGCCAAAATGGTGCTGTAAATGGTGGAGGCAATGGTAAAAAAGGAGGTAATGGTGGAGGTGGTGGCAACGCTCTGCCCGTTCAGGTTCTTACTGGCTCTAGTAACGACGGTAAAAATGGAAAAGGAGGTAAAAAAGGTGGTGGTGGTTGTGGAGGAAATAATAATGGGGGAAATCAAAATCAAGGTGGTGGTGGTAAAAACGTAGGTAAAAATGGCGGTGGTTTACCTCAGGAAGTAAAAGCTGGTAACAGTGGTGGTGGGGGAAACAAGAATGGTGTTGCAAATGGTAGCAATGGGGGTAAAAAGGGAAATAATGGCGCTCCCAATGGTATTAATGATGGGTTCCCGAACATGGGTGCCCTCGATGGTGGTAACACGGGTCATCAGATGGGTAATGTGAACATGGCTATGGCCCAAATGGGCAACTTACCTATGAGCCAAATGGGTAACATCACTGCAGTCCAAGGCTTACCGGCATCTACTATAAACGGTGTTGGTGGTGGTGGTGTTGGCGGCCGATACTTCCAAGGGGCTGGTCCGGATGTAATGGCCGGCAACCCATACCATCAACAACAGTATTTGGCAGCTATGATGAACCATCAACGTGCAATGGCAGGAAATGAGAGTTTTCAGCCCATGATGTATGCTAGACCATCCCCAGCAATCAATTACATGCCCCCGTATCCGTATCCGTACCCCTACCCACCGCTTCAACCCGACCCGTATACCCACTTTTTTAGTGATGAGAACACCTCAAGTTGCAATGTGATGTGAGGATTTGGATTTGGGTTGAAAGTTTGATTAGGATTTGAACGTGGTGGCAACAATAGCGTTCGGTTATAGATGAAGAACTAAAAGTTTGATGCCATAATATAATAGTTTAATTTTCCCCGACTCTTTTTTTACTTAGTCCTTTTTAATTTTTAATTTTTTTATTTAAGTGGAGTTTGAGTTTCAATTATTATAGGGTATTTATAGATATATTATATTAAAGTGTTTAGGGAGAGAGGATGATGAGATGTAACTGGGAATTAGTGTTGGGCATTTCCCTTTTTATGAGAATGTTTATATTTTGCAAAACAAATAAGATAAAAAAGAGGATGAAATGGGATGTTAACCAAAAATGCCCATCTCTCTCTCTCTCTCTCTCCCGAGATGTAAGCGTTGTCTAGGTGTCTAGTCTTTTCAATGAAGCGTTGTCCCGGTGTCTAGTCTTATCATCAGGGAAACAGTATCCCTCTGTTTATAAAAAAAATATATAAGAAACTCTTTTTCTTTTTTTTTTAAAGGATGGGTCCCGATCTTCCAAATCCGATGAGTTGGATTTGTCACATACATGATGCTCATGATGAGAGGAGAATCATCGCATAACGTTAATAAAAAAAACTCCATCCATCGGTCGAATCACAGACAGTGATTGATGTTTATGGGGGACAACGCCAATGGCCAAACCCCTTTTCTTTTGAGGCTTTACTCTAAATTATGATTTACTCCCTGTTTTCTGCTGAAGCTTAAAACTGCCTTTCCCATGTTTCTAACCCAGAACATTACACCTGACGAATTTCTTGAACTTCACTAAAATAATAAATTCTCTATTTTTGATCAAATATAATTATGATATGAACTTTTATTATAATAAAGCATTATATTTTTATTTTTAATAATTAAAAGGATGAATGTCACAAATAATTTGTGAATTGAAATAAAATATTTTCTGTGATATTTAAATTATATAAAATTTTAATATAATATTTTAATTATAAATATATTAATTAATATAATATTCACTTTTAATTTATTAATTTTAAATGATGGTAAATAGTATTAGAGTCTTTCATGTATCAAATTAATTTTTTAATTTGAATATTATATTAAAAATTTTTTAAATTCAAATATAATGTTGAATATTTTCATTATAGTTTGAAAGTTATTGATGACATTTTCTTGCATCAAAATTTAATTTTTGACAATTTCAAATATAAAAATTATAAATTTTTATTTTATTAGAATTATTGTTTGACAGTACATAATATTTCATATTTTGTTAAAATCTTGTTTATTAATTGATGTGATTTATAAAAGATAATTATGTGAATTTATTTGAGTGAACTAGATGATAAATATTTGAAAGCATTTTGAAAATTATAACAAATGATTTTTTTTAGAAACGAGATAAGACAAAAAAAAAAAAAAAAGAATTATGTGTGATGAAATTTGGATTCAAATATATTGAATATTACATTATAAGAGTAATTGCATGAATCAATTAAATTTTATTTTTATTTTTAATATTTAATTGGTATGGTACAATTATAATAAAATTTAAATTTAAATCTTTATTCTACAAAATAAAAGATGAAATGCTTATTTTTATTTTATATAAATGAAAATAGTTAGAGTATTATTTCAATAACTTATTATCTCAAAGGTTTATTATGAAAAGATTTAGATGGAGCTTGGTCTAATAAGATTTTTAGGTATTTTATTTTTAAAAAAATATCAAAACTTGAAGATAGAGGAATAAGTTATACGTAAATTTAAATTTTATACTTAAAAAATATTTTTTAAAAAATAATTATATGAACTAATTAAGTTAAATTCTAAATTATGATTTTTAAGGCGTTTAGAGAACCAAAATTTATGTTTATGCAATTTACTTATGCCAAACTTTAAGATAATGTTTAGTATCATTTTTAAAATTATCATGGTAATGTAAACACCTAGGTGATCTTATTTAGTTAATAATCATTAATTTATATGAATTAAATATCACTATATTTAGTATTACTAAAAATAAAATATTATTTTATTTAAAAGTTAAAAAATAACCATCTTTATTCTAATAGTTATATAAGTAAATGATTTAAATGTTATTTAAAGAAAATAATTTATAAAACAAAGTAATATTTTATTTATTTTATAATAAATATAATTAAATTATCAAATTAATAAATATACTTATTTATTAAGTAAATTAATTTTTGTAATAGAAATTATGTAAAAAAAATTTCAATTAGAAAATAAAACTAATCTATTAAAATCATAATAAAAAAAAACATTATATTATATATAAAATATTATAAAAAAATGAGAAAATACATAAATTATTTTTAAACTTATTACAATGAATATTAATTTGAAAATATAAAAATTTATAATATAAAATAAATATAATTTTAAAAGGAATCAAAATTGTAATTTAGGTATTAAATGAATAATATTATCTATTATTAATTTTACATATTATTTTACTTTGATGATAAAATTTTTTTATTCTTTTGAATGAAAATTAAATCACCTTCAAAGATATTTATTTGATCACTTTTTGTGATCTAAGATTACTATCACACAAAATCATCAAATATTTACCACATATAATAATCAAATTACTATATATAAATCATCGTAGTTATAAAAATGATCATTTTATACGAAATGCTACCTAAGCGTCTTTCAAGCAAGGGTTTTTTGTTCCTTGGAGAGCATTTAATGTGGGATTGCTCGAGATCCAAAATTTTGTTGACCCTGTTTGGCTACAATGTTGGGTAGCATTCCAGAACTCACTCCTTACCTTTTTGATCTTGCCGTTCTTTACGTTTAAGACGTGCATTGATGTAGTCTCCTCTACAATTGTCCTACAGTCCTACAATACCATTTTCATCACCAATCAAATTCAACGTGCATTCACAGACTCACTTCCTCTACAATTCTCCTAGCACTCCACTTTCATCCCCATCGGTTTCAATTTTAAGATTTATCCAATTATAGATGAAAGAAAAATTTTACTAGGAAACTACTAATAAATAGAGAGAATTGTTGACTCTAAAATGTATTGACCTTTTTGCTTTATACAACTAAAAAATTAAAATTTTTTATGATAAAGTTACCCTTAAATGAATTACCACATTATTCATTTTGAAATTACTTTTGAATCTTTTAATCATACACTTTATTTTTCTTATTTCAATCTTATCTCATAAACTTCAAACTTCATCTTCTCCATCTACAAAAACTTAAATCAATATTGAGTCTTTTAAGTTAGAGTACGCCGACAATGAAAGCAGAATGTGAAAACAAAAATCTTTGGTAACAAAGACTGCAGGTGAACCAATCAAGTATCTGTGATTTTAGGTGAAATTTCAAATATGTATTTTCAGATGCTTAAGTAATTTACTAAAACAAAATTTCATATATATATATATAGATAATTTTTAAAAGTGCACATCCATGCATTTTCATAAGTATTGTTTATTTTACATGCGAAAATATATATTCAAAAAATTTTAACATTTTTGAAATTACATAGTTATAAATTTTTTAATTTATTAGATATGTATTTTCGAAAAGTTCCAGCCTTTTCATATATTCATTTTTTAAAGTGTTAAAAATATTTGAAATATACATTTTTGGATAGATTAAAAACATTTCGAACATACATTTCCAAAAATGTTAGAAATGTAAATATTGTTATTATTCAATGAGTTGTCTTAAGTAATTTTCTTTAAAGTGTGTTTGAAATTAGATTGTATTTAGCATTGGATTGTAAAAAATAAAAAATGATTGCAAATACAATTTTCATATATTATTATTATTTCGTATATAAATGAAAATTTTAAATTTTACCAATAGAATCAACAATTGCTGTTTTTTTTTTATTATATTTATTTATTAATCTCTTCAATATATTTTTAAATATTTGTCATAATTTTTATCCAATTTAACATTTTTTGTTTTACTTGAGGTTGTTATAATTTAAACATTGATTATTGAAATTAAGAATTTAACATGTTACCAATAGATAACACGATTGTTGGTAATATTTTTTATTTTACTAATACAATTTGTCTAATGAAAAAGTTTTTTCAACTAAGTGTTATTCATGCAAGAGGAAACGTGGATGGAAAATAAATAAAAATGTCAATCTTATCCATAACTGATGAAAAATTTAATTTTTTACCCGAATAAGATAGGAGTGAGTATTACATTATGAGGATAGATATGAGTATTATATCGTGAGGATAGGTGCGGATATGATTTTAGAATTTTTATCGAGTAGGGATGTGTGGATGGATAAAATAGCACCAGCTCTAAAACATAGGTAGGGATAAGCTTGACATGAAAGCGACATAAACTAATATATTTTTCTTTTTCCAATTAAAAAATTTTTTTTTTATATTATCATTGCGTTAGAATTTTGGTTTAGTGGTAAAAAATTTTAATGAAAAATGTGAAATAAAATGCAACAATTGATTAGTAACTTTATTTTTCTTTTCTTTAATCTCTTATATTTTTAAGATGAAATAAATGATTTTATTTGAGATTATACGTTTGTTTATAACTTAACCCAAATTCATTTGACTTTTTTAAATTATGAAAAAGATGACATTTTTTATTTGTATTTGTTGTGACTTTTTTCACTTTTAAAATTTGTTTATGAGAAATTCGTAAGTTGTTAAAAAGGTGTTCATATTATCAATCTTGTTAAAGTAGGTTATCTCATATCTAATTGATTTTTAATATCATATATTCTTATACTCAGGTTGAGTCCGTTCACTTACTACCAATTGGTTTTAGGTTAGATGCTTAACATGATATCAGAATCAAAAAAATTTTTTGTTGTCTTTTCCTAATTTGTCGCGTGGAAGGCTTTTTTCATCTGTGCCTATATGTGATAGAGGCATATTAAAGTGAGTTATCCCACATCTAATGGATTTTTAATATCTTGTAGTTTTATATTTAGGTTGAACCCCTTCACTTATTGTCAATTGGTTTTAAGTTTGATGTTTAGCAAATCTTGCTTGATTTGGATTTTGATTAAGGGTTCAAAAACAAATTTTTTTATATATATATTTGGAGTATATTTTGATCCAAAATCACATAGTTACGATGGAAAAAGGGAGGTTGCCCTCTTGGAATTGATAGGTTGGTCTGCAGTATTCTATAGAATGGTTTCGAGTTTTATGTTTGTTATGCATAGATATTAGAACTGTCTTTTCATCTTTGGTTAGCGTTTGTGATTTTTCCCATGTTCTTTTTATCATTAAATGTTTTTAGCTTTGTAAACTACCATTCTATGTTGGAAATATTTATATGAAAAAATTGTTGTTCTTTAAAGTCTCAATGTCCTTGGTGATGTGAGACTTGGGCTAAGAAATCATGATTCAAAATGGGGATTTTTAGCATTTCAATGGCAGATAAGGCAATTGTTGTAGGGAAAATGCAAAAAATAGACAATCAAGTAAAACTATGGCTTGAAC